AGACGACGATCGACGATGGCGAGGATGATCTTGGACTTGAGCTCATTCTCAAAGCCTCAAGTTCTCTCTTAAGCCTCCTCCCCTTCATGTGAAGGGTGGGGCTCTATTTATAGTATTTTGGGTGCAATTAATGCAGGAATAAAAATCATTTTGATCGGACGGTCCGGAGAGCTTCCCTCGATCGGATGACGTTTGATAGACATTTGAGTACCTTAATGATAGTACCTTAATGATGATGTTAGAATTGAGCAATCTTGGTCTCGTTAGATTCGTCTTGTCGAGACACTCGATTCCACTATGAACTCGCTGAATTCGACATTCGTCTGATCTCTCAAATATATCCGGAAATCTTCCAAGAATGATTTAATCATTTGATCTGGGCTTGATTTAACTTGGATTGGACTAACTTTGATATCATTAGGTCCGTCTCATCGATTCGGTTAGTTTGACTATAAGTTTGTTGAAATCGGAGCTCTGGATGAGTCTTAATTGAAGTTTGAATGTTTTTTGCTCAAGATATTGTCTCAAGATCAGTGTTATGCCTCGAGATTCGTGCCAGATGATGATAATTTGTTGGCGACATATCAATACCATCCATCCATCTAATTCATAAGAAAAATATCATTATATATGTATAATGTAGCAATAATGTATTGTGAGTTTATATTGTCGAATCTTGATTTATCTGTGAATCACAACTTAATGATTGAGCATAAAAAAGGATAGGGGTCAGAGAGATACATGAACGTTAAAACGCCTTGTCTATTAACATTTTTTCATTAAATGATATTCTTATTTATAAGGGGGTTTGTACATAAGGTAATATTATATTTTTGTATGAGCTTTGATGAGGGTTGTTATAGAGAATTCTAAGTATTTTATATGTACGAGTCTATTGCTTGGTTGACCTATGTCTAAGTCTGCTAGATTAGCATGATTTTGGTTGATTAGAGTCAATTTGGTTTGCTAAGCTCGAGTTATGTAGCCAATTGGCTGAACTTGATTAGTTTTGGGTCGGCATGACTGACTCGATCAGTTAGATTCTATCGATTAGTTGATCTAATATGACCATCGACTCTCAATCTCTATATTGGAAACTACAATCAGCTTAGTGAGACTAGGTTATGGAGCAGAGGGTGAATCACCACAACTAATTCTTTGACGAGAGAGTCATTTAAAATGATTGTGAAGCTTTGTTATATGACCAAATTTTCGTCTCATGGGAAATCCTTGAAGACGCTTGTATGATGAAAATTGATGCACATTAATTGAATTATTTTATCTGCTCGAACCTATCAAGAGGTAGGTCAGTGCCTATGCTCGGTTTTCTTATAATAGTTGGTCCAGATGGTTGTCTAGTTTTGGTCCAATGGGTTCGGGTTATAAATGTATGCGTTAAAATGAGTTTCATATGTGGTATTCTTAGGTGATGTTATAGATACGAGTGTTATATATATAAATATAAGATTTTTGATATTAAATATGTAAATATATAAGAATTGTGTGGTATTTATGTAAATTCCTCCATATCATTTTCAATAAAAAGTTGCAGCCACTGTTTTTGGGAAACCTGAAAACATAGTTTAAATGGCAGCTCAAAGTTAGAGCGATATATTCTCGCCAAATGTAGGGTGAAGGATTATATCAGAATATTTTATTTCAAAACCAATTAAAATAAATTACACAATTGTTAGTTTATTTTAAATTTAATACTTCAATATTTATAATTTATTCATTTAAAATAATAATATTATTTAATTAAATTTCAATCCGAATATTCTTCGGGACCAAATTTTATCCTGAAATATTTGCATGCATACCCCTCAAGTCTCATGTATTTGCATGTGTTTTATATAAACCTCTAATATGTCTAACAATTCGAGTGTCACTTTCTTAAGACCAACTGTGCTGGAGGTGATTCGAACCTCAAACCTCAGAGGTCTTATACCGAAGATGTCAACCAACTGAAGATGTCAACCAACAAGCCGGTTATGCGGCACACACACACTTTATATATATATTTCAGACGCAATTAATATTATTGCGTCTGAATGAAAAGGGATGGTAAATATATATATAATTTATTATCATTTTCTTATTTTTCTAATGGGGGAAACATAGCAAAAATTGGTACACCTATTTGGATAGAATAAAATTTAAAAAGGGTATTTTGTTGTTGCAAAACTTTAGAAACATCAACCTTTTTATCTATAACAATTAAAGAAAAGGAGCATTTATTTACATACAGAGCCCCAAAACTTGCTATTTACAAACTGACCATCCCTTTTCATTCATTTTTACAAAATATAAATAGTTTGATCGCGACATAGGAAAAAAATGTCACCTTTGCGAATAATACGTAAAGATCAATATTTTGGGTGATGATTATATAATTATCCCTTAAAAAAAACCTATCTTTCGCCCTATTAGTTTGACCGCACCGCTTAAAAATCGAAAATTTTCAGTCAACCACTGCCTCCCATTATCTTCCCAGCCCTCAGCCTGCTTTACTACCATTTCCTCCCCTGCGCAATTTGCTGCCGCTTATCCCCATCCGCTCCCCTTTCATCACATGGCTTTGTTCTTCTCCGGAACATTTCACGCCCCCTTGCCTTTCTCTTCTTCTTCTTCGATCCCAGTCGCGATTACTGCTCGGTTTATGAATTCCTCCGATTCGAACTGTACTTGTTATTTTCATCCGGTTGATTTTCGTGCTCATCTCGCCAGTTCTTGATTCCGGCACCCTAGGGCAAGATTTTGCGATGGGGAGGCGTAAGTTTTTGTTTTAAAGATTACTTTTTTTTGGATCTGGTTTGGTAATTTGTTGTGACAGGGCGTCAAAATTTGATCTTTTTAGGGTTTTGATATGGAAGTGTGGATCTTTTGCAGGAAAGCAGAAGACTGTTGAGGTAGATCAGCTTGATTATAGCGATGATGATAGCGTGGATTCTGGTTCGACGGCTATTTCAGACCATGTTTTAGCTCATGAGACAGAGAGCGTTGACTCGCAGGAGTTTACGCTTGAGAAACACCTTGAAGCTCTATATGAGAAGAGGTTATTTTCATAATTTTCTTGTTTATATATTTGTCCCTAGAGACTTGTTTCTGTTTGATTTGGTTTTACAACACTTGCTGATTTTGTGATTAAGATTTGCAGGATTTCTTGTAAGTTGGCTGTAAAAGGATTGTTGTAGACATTTTAAGAGAGTGTAGAAATATATTCTTCATTAATGAAGAGACTTAATGGTTGAGAGAGCTAATTTAAATGCTTACTAATGGCCCATTTGGAATCAATTTTATTTTTTTGTTTTGCCTTTGTTTATTAAAAACGTATTTGTTTAATGATTTTCTTACATGTTTTCAATTTTATACTTAAAAAGTAAATATACTTGTTTTAAAAATACTCCAAATAACTTTTAGAGGTTGTTTGGCAATGGATTTAGAGCGGTATGTAGGCTAAATCTTGCCAGATGGTCACTTTGGAAGGAATGAAAGCGCAGATTTGATAAATCCGGATTTCACGGATTTCGGCCGTAAATCCCATAAATCCTAAATACCGCATTCGGTCAATTTACAGGATTTACAAGGAGTGCGTAGGGGGTCGGGGTGGATTTATGTTGAAGTTTCCAAACAGTTTGATAGGGGTGGATTTACGTCGAAGTTTCCAAACGGTTTGATGGATTCGCGGGATTTAGGAAATTTTCTTGTTATATGGTTTTCCATGCAATATTTAGTAAATCCGGATTTACAGGATTTACTAAATATTATTAACTTAAATCACATTTTTTGCCAAACAACCTCTTAGATTTGATTGATTTTTAAAACACCAATATCCTAATTGAACATGCCGAACACATTTTAATTTAAAATCAAGCACAAACAAAAGTAAATAAGATCACAAAATAGAAATAATAAAATAAAAGTTATCCCAGATGGCCCCTAAGGAGAGAAGATGTGTTTTAAGAGTGAGAAGTTGAATACTTTTGTGGTTATAATGATATTAAAAAAAAAATCAGATGCCTTGCAAAATATGTTATTAGTTAAAAAAAAAACAATTGCTAATGGTTTATATGATAAATTTAGTACTAAGGAAGGGGAAAATGAGATATGTAGTATATCTAAGATAAAGCATAAGAGATTTTGAGATTTTGATCAAGTTGGATGTGTTAAAAGTGAATCTGATTGGATATTGGTTCAAGATGAATACATCATGAAATATGCAAATGTTACTTTGAAAAATTACTAAATGAGTGCATTAAGGAGGAAATTATTTTTGGAAGGGCATGAAGAACAACATAATGAAATATAACATTGCTGATTAAAAATGTGAAGTTGATTTGGCTATAAAGATGCATAAAGGTACAATTTTAGATTAAGATGAGATGCTTGTTGAGATCTGAAGAGTTAAGAACTATATTATAGTGATTTGGCTAAAAAATTTTCAAATAGAATTTGAAAGATTAAGAGGATGGAAAATAGAAGAACAAGAAATATTTTGTTATAAGCATTTGATAATAAAGGTATTTTCAAGATTTTGCTGGCAATTGAGGAATTAAGTTTATAAGTAATATTATGAAGCTATGAAAGCTAGTGAAGAACATAAGCATAGAAAATTACATCAATTTCAGAAAATTATTTGATTTTATGCCGTGAATTTCTTATAAGCATAATTAAAAATAATTCGAAAAAAGGAAAGATATTTAAATGATTATATTGATCTTGAAAAAGTATATGATCGAATACTGTAAGGATTCATTTGTTGTGCTTAAAGGGAACAATGTGTGTGCCAAAAATACATTGACTTCATTAAAGTAATGCTTGTTGAAGCATTGACTTGTATTAGAATTAGATATAAAGCGGCACAAGTCACTATATTTCCATAAACTTACATCGAGGATCAGTATTGAGTATATATATGTTTGTATTGACTATAGAGATGATTACAAATGATATAGAAATTGAGGTACTTAACTGTATGTTCTTTATTTTCTTTTTACAAGATGATATTATTCTAATTGGTTACATTTTGATCAAAATCAATGAAAAATTTTAATTGTTGGGAAGATGTTAGAAAATAGTAACATAAAAATTAGTAGATCAAAGATTTAGTACATGATATTTAATTTTAGCAGGCTAAACTTTTATCTTTCAGTATTATTAAAAGATAATGTAATGCATATGTATGATATGTTTAAGTGTTTTGAATCTAATATACAAAATTGTGAAGGTGTAGGTGAGGATATGACTTTTAAAGTTGATGCTGGATGTTTAAATCAAAAAGTGCCTTGAGAGCTTTATATGAAAAGAAAATATTATGGAGGCTTATTGGTGTTGTATGCATGTGAGAAAATTATTAATATTTCATGGATATCTATGTCGAGTTGATAAATTTAAAAATATATTAACATCGGCATGTGTGATAATTTAAAAATATAATCTTCAAAATGATTATATTAAAGGAAATGTATGAGTAACATCTATCGAAGAAGATGACCTTAAATAGACTTAAATACTTTAGGCAAGTGCAACAGCAGGTAAAAATGCATATTTTAGGCAAGGTTATAAAGTTAGTATTAGAGGATTAAGAGGGAAAGTGAGTAAACCTAACATTGCATGGACAGATTTTTTAAATGATTTGTGAAGAACACATTTAATACCTCATATTACATTTAACATGAATTAAGGCTAATAAAGATGAATGTTCACTTGTTTACGTGAGATCATTAGTTTATGTTACTTGTAGCGTCCTCGTTTTGCATGCTAGAGTTGTCTTCGTGGATTGATAACTATGGTATGCCCTCTAGAATATCATTTTAGAGTGCTCACGATAGAAACTAGATATTCCGTTGATAGTCATCTTTATAAGGGTATTTATTGACTTATTGTTTGTTTATATTAACGAGTGTACTTGGATTTTGTCAAGGGTTGATAAGTTTTGTACACCATGTTTAGCTTATGTGTTATCATGGACCATGTTGTCTCTTTGTGAGCTTGATCTCTTTTGATTTACTTTATGGCTCATCCTACTATGGTCCTAAAGGGACTTCATTCAATCTTACGTATAGCTTTGAAGGTAAGATCGTCTTTAAAGAAGGTAAGATTTTTCATTCAATCTTCTGACAGAACTAGCACGTTTTAAAGAAGTCAGAACTTTATGCATTTAGGTTGTTTTTCTTGAAGTTTTTCTCTAGACTTCTTCTTCTCATCTAAAACATTAATAGCTATTTCTTACTTATTCTTTATTTGATAGAGGTTCAACTAGAGAGATAGCTTTGGCTGGGCTTGTTACTGCTTTTGAAGGCCATGTGCTTCTTGACTTCATACAGGACAGGTAAGTTCTTCATGATGTTATTCAAATCAATATTGGTCATTTCACGTAATTACATTGTCAGATAATTTTTTTCAAAAATGACCAAGTAACTATTATTGATCTTATCACTCATCAAAGGCCTATAGTGCTTTATGACTTATTTTTTCACTTTGCGCACTTGACTTGGAGGGTATTTTCATGTGACAGATGCATTACTTTATTGCATCAATACCTCGGTTCGCTGAAACGAGGTTCTGTAAAGGAGGCCTGCCTTTCTGCTCGTGCTATTGGTATTCCTCTAATCCTATTTTCGACTCTAATGTCGAAATTGAAATATTTTTAATTCTTTTGTTTTATTCAAAAGGCTTGCTGGCTATCACTGGTGGTACTGGCAGCAACACACATGAAATTATGGGGGAGTCAACACCTCCACTCTCTCGAGTTCTTATTTCTGGACCCGATGCAGTTAGGATTTTTGTACGTATTTTACGATTTGGCCCAACGTATTTTTGGAACATGTATTTGTCAGATTTGTAATATTGTATGATTTATATCTGTAGGTACTTGATTCTCTAGCAGTTGTCACTTTTGTTGGTTCTAATAACTGGGAGGAAACTGAGGCAATCATGAAAGTTATTTGGGAGATTATTCATCCAAAATCGCGTTCTAAGGTATTCAATCTTGTAGTTTTTTTTTGTAAAAATTTCACAAAAAGATAGTAAATATTATGTTTTATTGTCTGTAACCGGTTACAATATCTTTTATTCATACCACACAATTCTTATATATTTACATGTCCAACACCTAAACTTTCATATTTTGATTCATAACATTCATATCTTCAATGTCAAATCTTACTTTTTAAAAATGATGCACGCGTTTTCATGTATAGATTTATGACACCAAGGGATAAATGTAAATATCAAACATTTGGTGTTTGATGTGTAAACACAGAAAAAATGTGTGGTATGTATGCCAATTTCCCTTATTCATTATATTTTATTTTGTCCTTACAGGCTGTAGTTGTTGCTAAACCGAGCTCCGCTACATTAGTGGCAGCTCTATGTGCATGGTCGTTTCTTCTGACGACATTGACCGGCTGGAGGGTTGACCTCGATATGTGGACCGAGTAAGTGAAGCTCGAACCTTTTTAGCTTCAATTATTCACATTTTATTTTTCCCCCTTACCAAAATAGTAATTGCAGGATGATTTCTTTCCTTTGTAATCTTCTCGAAAAAGGTGACCGTGCTGTTCGAATAGCTGCTGGTGAAGCTATAGCTGTCATTTTTGAAATAGTGATAGCCGGCAAATTATCGACTGAGACTAATGATCTCGAGAATCTCGAGGACGTGCCCTCGAAACCGAAGTGGTTTGTGTATTTATTATCCTTGAAAGAAAAAATAATATCTCTAGTTTCGGTTCTGGCAATGGAGGCGGGTGGCAAGGGCACTGATAAAAAATGTTTGAATGCTCAACGCGACATATTTCAGAAGATTTATGATTATCTTATGGTATTACTTTTTTTTTTGAAATTACATATTTTTACATTTATGGCTATAAATTATACTTTCAACCTCAAGTTAATATAAATTTTTTGCAGGATGGCAAACTTCCTGAGACATCTTTAATAGTTTCTAAGAAGCAAGGTGTGTTGACAACTTCTACTTGGACTAAATTGATTCAGGTATGAATCATGAGGCTTGTGCAATTGTATTTTATTTTGATTTTTGAAGTCTATTTCAGCACCAAGAATTTCTTTTTAATACTTCATTCGGCTTCAGTTTGAAAAATTTACAGTCCTTTGTATGATAGTTGAAACCCATTTTCTTCCTCTTTGTCGTAATTCCTACCCTTTTTTACTTCTTATCTTCTGTCGCCTTATATTTGTTGCTTTTCTTTTCATTCTATTTTTCTATACTCTCTTTAAGGGTTTGTTTGGGACAGCATTATGCTGTTAGAGCTATCAAAAAAACTCGTTGTTCGTAAACAGCTCGTGTTCGGCTCGTTTTTGTTTGAAATAAAGAAATAATGTATATTATTTATATAATAATATATCATATATATTTATATATCAATTTAAATCATAGCAGCTAATGTGGTGTGGTCATGTGGTTCTGCGACATCCCTGCATCTATTTTTTTAATTAATTTAAACGAGCCAATTTGAACCCAAACATTAGCCTAACACGAATAAAAATATGTAAGTTGAGTCAAACACGAAATCACCGCTCACGAGCAATTTCAAATCTCAGCCAATTTCGAACGAGCCGAGCACGAGCCCAGCTTGAGCTCGCTCAAGCTCGGCTCGCTTACAGCCCTTTCTGCTATTATTACATTTCAGATCGTCACCACAATTTGTTTTAGAAATTGTTTTCTTGTTGCATTTAAAATAATTTTATGGCTAGAAGTTATTTTTTGCAACCAGATTCGTTGTGTTGGCTGTAAAAAAGTTGTTAAAAAAGAATTTTTTTTTTAATTCTCGCCGTAACTTTCAAAGAAATTGCTTTACTCATCAAATTTTTACGTTCGCCTTTACAAAAAGCTGTAGCCGTCCTAAACTGATCTTTAATCTTCTTTCTTCCGCCATGGATTCGATCACCACTCTTAAATATAAAAATTTCTCACATAATCCTTCTTGTTGGTTTATGATGTCTCTGTTGATTTATATTTTTGCAATAACTGGATGCATATTTTAGGCCTTTTTTTAATGAAATTCACTTTATTTTCTTTTCAGTTGAACTTCTTAAAACGCTTTCTTGGGAGCGGTTTCCTCAAGCATGCACAGGTTGCTTAAACTATGAGATTATTGTCATTTTTTAATATTAATTATTTATAGGAAGATTTACATACATACCACTCAATTCCTAAGCATTTGCATGTCTAACACCTCGACTTCAATTTTTTACATATATGCCACCTTATGCATGAACGAATGTATTTCACTATTTAAAAGTTAAAATACTACTATTTTTTTATGTGATATGAAAGATTTGGGTGGGGGATAAATTTAAAAAACGAAATTTAGGTGTTAGATGTGTAAATACTTAGGAATTGGGTGGTATGTATGTAAATGCCCCTCATGCATATTCCTCAATTATTTCTCTAATGTTCATGCAGGATAATGAACTGCTGCATAATGTATTCCACCTCATACCACATGCTGAAAGCAATCTATCATCCTCAGAAAGGGTTAGTTTGTAAATCATCCCTTCTTTACTAATTTTTTTCATTTCCCCCCCTGGTTTTTCTTAAATCAGGTTTTGATGAATAAGTACATATATTGTTTATATGTACCAAAAGATGCAATAATATCTAATTATCTGATAAATTATGGGAGAAAATGAGTATTGCAAACTGAATTAAAGGAATGCAAACAGAGCCTAGATGACTCATTCTATAGCTAAGCCATCATTTTAGCCTAATAAATCCTACATGCTAATTTAATAAAAATGAAATAAATAAACCTGATTAGGTCTTAGATTTTTATTGTTAATTATTTTCTACATGCATCTCTTTAAGCAATGTTTCTGTCTTCAAAGAGCATCTTCTTCAAAGCTTGATCACATATGCAATTGATTAGCTTCAAAGATACATTTTTTGGCTACTATTAGACGGCTCATTATAATTAAATTTGAATTATGGAGTTAATAATATCTAGAATGAGATTCACATGCACACCACTCAATTGTTATGTATTTACATATCAACACTTGAACTTCCTTTCTTACGTATATGATAACTTATGCATGGAAATGCTTTTTTTCACTTTTGAACGTCGAAATGGTGATATTTTTTATGTAATATGAAATATTTGGCTGGCATAAATGTAAAAGCAAAGTTTTCGTGTTGGATATGTAAAAGCATAAGAATTGGGAGTTGTATGAATATGCTTAAGAATAAATGAATTGAAATGTAAACATATATATATTTGTGTTATATCTATTCCTTTTTTAGCCTTCATTTTGCCATGTTATTTATTGCTATTGCTCATTTCTTATGCGAAATCCGTGTTTTCGCACATTTAGAGGATTGCTAGATCATCCGGCGATAGAATGAGAACTCAAGAGTTGAAGAAGGATCGCCACTTGGCTCAGGTATGCCCTTCATTTTAGCACAAATTCTTTTGGTTAAAAATTCTCAATTAATTTTTTTATTTTCTTACCCATAGTTGCTATTTTAAAATTAAGGTAGTTCATATTGTGGTATTTAGAATTCTAACTTCTTGCCATCTTATTCCTAAGGAAGATTTTGTGGGTTATGTTGGAATCAATGAGGAAGAATGTGATGCTTTTAGTTGTACAACTCCTCCCCTTTTCTATATTTCCACTCTCTTTAATTGCCCAATGCTTTTTCCCCTCTTTTCCTTCTTTCCTTACTAAATAGGGGTATAAATGCAAAGTTTGATTTAGCTCGAGTATTGTTCAACTTGGCTCGATAAGCAAACGAACAAAAAAAAATTCTTTTTGTTTTCGACTTAGTAACTTATCGAGTTGAACATGTGCTGTTCAAGAACATAAAATTCATTTGAAAGTCATATATAGCTTATAGAAGATATGTCATCATGCATCTATACAATATATATAAAGGGAAATTTCTTCACATGCCACACAATTCGTATGTATTGCATATCAAACATATAAAGTTTGATGTATACAAGCTATAACACTTGGTGTCATAAGCCTATTTATGAAGAGGTTTTTTCTCATTTATACTATTAGTAATAGTGTTATTTTTGATGTGATGTTAAAGTTTTGAGTGTTATAAATATAAATAAATTGGTTTAGGTGTTAGATATATAAATACATGAGAATTATTGCCTCATAGATATATTGTATATTTACACACATTGAATGCAAGTTGTTTCATAAACTCCTTCATTAACTCATTTGAAGGTTAGGATTTAACCTGATCTTAAATTGAAAATATAATTTTGGGAGTTCATAGGGTCACATATAGCTAAATTATTGATCTTTTTTATTTTTTTTCCTTTTTTGGATTTAGTTGTGATTGAGATTCAATTAAGTCTAATTAATTATAGATTTGATGCTAATAATTTTAGCATATGCTTATTATTGCTAGACAAATAGAAATTTGTGTTTTAATTAAATTAGATCTGATTCACCCATTGTTATTTCTGTTGTTTTGAAGTTCAAATACTATTCAATAATTTATCAGGTTACTTGTTGAACGATAAACGAATATTGTCACTATAACATTAAAGAACGAGCACGTTAATGTTCAACCTCGTTTGCTTACACGTCGGTTTTGTTAAAATTTTATCTAAGGTTGGTTTGATTACTTGAATAAACTAATATAAAATAGTTTATACAAACACTTTGTGTTGTTCATTGAGTGGACTCGGTGAGTCGAGTCTTATAGAACCTCTTCTCGAGTTTGGCAGTTCATTAATAAATGTTTTCAAACATTTGTTTTGCAGCTGAGGAAAGGAGCTCTTCTGTTCAACTCTCCCACTTAGCAAGTTTGTTGTTTCCTCCATGAATGGATTCTCTACCTCTGTTTCTGAATCTCTTCAGATTTTTATTGTAATTCTGTAGCAAAAGCAATGCCAAACAGGGTCTTGAAGCATGATTTGAAGAACTGATTTTAATTATATTTTTAGTTATTTTTTTCCTATTTTTTATTTGATGGATGTTTATTGGAGCTACTATTAAGCTTGGATTAGATTTTGTTGTTTCTTATTGAAAGCAAGAAATGTATTTATACGAGCCTCTCGATCAATCTCTCGTTCCTAAGAATTCCATCCCGCACATAGGCGGGATCGAACTCGTGACTCTAGGGGTCTTAAATTATGTCAACCAAAGAGTCACGGTAAGTGGCACATAACAAGAAAGCAATGTATGAAAAGCCAATTATTTGAAGACTTTGGTGTTATGTTTTTGAATATTTTGACATTTCGAGTACACATCTTATTGCGAGCGAAGATGTTTAATAACTTTAGGATTAGTTGTTGGGTAAATATGCCAAATTTATTTCAATTATCAAGTATAAAAAATAATCAATAAATATGAAAATTTACATACATAACATCTGGTTCAATCGTGAATCAGTCATTCAATCAGTTCGGTTCAAGCTCATAAATATTTCAACATAGAATCGAGATTGACTTGATTAGAATTAGGATTGACTCAGCGAATCGATTTAGTTTCTAAAGAACGAGTCGGTTCAAATATTGTTTAATTTTAACAAACTGTTTGATCAAATTCTAGAAATAAAAAATATAAATTAAAAATAAAAAAAAATTCATATTTTAAAATTTTTACTTAAATTATTGTTTAAAATATTTAAAAGTGTTCTTATATTAAAATATTATTTAATGAATTGATAAAAATAATATTTAATTTAAATTATATTAAACTAACTTAAATGTTCATAGTGTCAAAAACATAAATAAATTTCAATAGTAAAAAAAAAGAAAAACCTAAAATGATCACATTATCTTCATAAACTCGAAGAACAAGCAATCCCGAGCATCTTGTCAACATAATCCCGAAGAACAACCAATCCAACAACATAAAAAAATAATTGGAAAAACAAAAATATTGGAAAGAAGTGGAACATAGCCGATGAGTACATAACAGAATGAGACCACATGTAGAAACCATTGGAAAGAAGTGGAAGCATATCATCATATCGTGAAATGAGCGAGCAACATCATCAATTCTAATGGAAAGTAGAGAACAATGTATATGGCTATTATGCCCTCTTTTTTAATTTGGTGTTTAACCATTTTTATGGGCATTAACTTATCTCAAAGCAAATTTAATAGATTTAAATATGTTGGGCTATAATTTATTTTCAATTTTTTTTTTTTAATTTGTTGTTTAATAAGTTGTATCTAAAGAAAATTTAAAATATTTAATGATAATTTTAGCAACATTTTTTTTTTTTGGCATTATTTATTTGACAAAATTACTTAGAACAAGATTGTGTATAATTTATTAGGGATATTTAGGCTGAAATTTTCATTATTTTTGAAAATAAAGCTCATATTATTCTTTTTAACTATTAAATTTATGTATTTATATGTCTCATGATTAAATTGTGGAATAAATAAATGGGATGAGATTCTTTTTTGAAATTTGATGTTTAAGTGCGCGAGTATAAGAAAATAAAAACAAATATTAATTTTATATATTATCCAATTTTATGTAATTAAATTGGCCCTTATTTGTTGTATGAAGCAAAGTTTTCTTCAACTCACAATTAGAAGTTGTCAATTCAGATATAGTACATGCTCGACTCGTTAAGTAGTTCGTGTTTAACTCATTTGTTAAATAAACGAGATGAATACGAACAAATTATTTAAGCTTGAATTATAAACGAGGCATACACAAACAACCCTTCGTTTGATCGTATTCGACTCATTTTAATTTGAAATAAAAAATCATATGTTTTACTTATAAAATAATATATCATTTATTTATATCAAAGTTTAAATCATAACAGTTCGTGTCATCATGCAGTTCTGAGCATTCTATTGCATAGAATTGTTGCAAATTCTAATTCAGCATCTTATATTTATTTATTTTTAATAATTTTAAATGAGATGTGTTTGACCTAAACGTGGGCCCAACACGTACATATTGTTCATGAGCAACTTTGAACAAGCAAAACACGAATCAAACCTGAACTTGCTCGTGCTCAACTCTGTTTTAGCCCTAGAATCACAATAGCTTAATTTTAAAAGAAATAAATTGCGAAATTGATGTCAAAATGCTTTCTTTTGATTGTTTATATATCCTTGAAACTATAACCAGAGAAAAAAAGAGAGGTTGAAGATGATACAATTGGGAAAGATCTACCTCCAGCTACACGAAGCCATGGAAGCACTGGTTCACATCTGCAGAGATGGCTGCCGCACCATCAGCCCCCATGAGAAGCTCCTCAAGCAAAGCTCCATCCCCTGAGTTCATGGCGGAAACAAAGAAATATGCCGCATTGTTTCTAATTAAGAATTCAAGAAAGCCGGGAAGAAAAACAATAAAGAGTTAATGTGCAGCAAGAAAGATAAATTTTCATTAAAAAACACAACATTACAATAAGATAAGTTTTCAGAATACATCAAAAACTAAAACTACAATAACAAAGCAACATCATCTGCTAATGAGTCTATCGCTCCATCAAATTGATTTCTGCTCTTCATCTTCTCTTACAGCTCAAAAGCAGAGGCTTCAAAGCTGTCGGAGAGTCCGGTACCAGTCTTGAATGTCAGCTTCTTAGATGTGGGCTTCTCGAAATAAACTTCCACAACAGAGAGCCATAGCAGCAGCTCCTTCGTCTTCACGCCGGTCATCTTCTTCAGCTTGTACTTCTCCACGAAGGCCGTCACCTCCGGTGCATATGACACAGCCCTCTTTATTTGCTTAAAAACGTGATCTTTCTTCTTCTTTTGTATCAGCCATATGAAGCCGGCTTCGCGATTGTAGCCGAATTCCTCAATGTCTTCTAGGGGGAAGAGACCTTTGGGGAGGCAGAGCTCTTCTAGCAGTTCGATGGACTTCTTCTTGCAGAGTTCATCTCCTCTGTAAATCTCAGCACCTTCTTGGTGGTTTGAGATGGCCGGAGAAGCCATTAAATGGGAGGAGAGGTTGTATGAGTAGTTTGAGTGGTTTGAAGATTGAAAGATGAGAGCTTGTGTGGAGAAGATGATGGTGGGGAGCTGTTTATATTGCAGAGTGTGAAAGGGAAATCAATTATTGCGTTGCAGGCTTTGGGTGGAGTTTGAATCTTTTCAAGTCAGATGTCAGCGGAGTCAACACGTTGAGAGTAAGCATTTGTCGGCGCCAAACTTGGTTGGATGTGGAATGGGTCAAATTCTCCCTTATTTAACAAATAGATATTTAACTTATTGAATTTGATTTAGTAAATCTAATAAATTCAAATTTATTAAACATTGGTTAAATTTGAAAATTTATTTTGCTCTGGAATTATTAAATCATGTAAATTCAATGCTGTCCGAACTCAGAATGCAGCTCTATATGCTCAGAATGCAGCTCTATATGCAAACTCCCAGTAATGTATCGTCATGTGTGCTGCCTAAAAAATATTAAAGTGGAACAACAAACTCCGCAATAACACTGAAATAACCTCAAAATAACTCTGAAATAATCTCCGCGGTTCCACTTTATTAAACCCGATAACACTGTGCAAGTTATTTCGGGCTCATTTCTGAGTTATTTTAGAATTATTGAAGATGAACTCATATATCTACTTTTACAATCCAAAAATAACCCAAAAATAACCCCGAAATAACTTATGTGATGTTATTTCAGGGTTATTAAAGTATAACCACAGAGGTAATTCAGAGTTATTTCTGGGTTATTGAAGTGGATAATATAAGTTTCTCTTCAATAACCTCGAAATAACCTTCACGGTTCTACTTCAATAACCTCCGCGATGTAGCACACGTGACGACATACTATTGGAGTCCAGACATAAAATTTTTCAGACAGTTAGGAGGATTAGATATAGCTTGATTCCGAATCGTGCAAAGTTAAATCCATCGATTTATAGGATTTACTAAATTCAGGATTTACGGACAAAATCTTTGAATTTTGGATTTATTGCATTCCCAAATTTATTACTCAAAATGACAATCTGACAACATGTCACTTGATTCGTTGTCATACTGCCTCTTATAACATATGCGATGTCCGACCTGATTAATGTAAGATATTGCGAAAACCCTACCAAATGTCTATAGAAAGTAGGTTGTGCATAAATGGTAAATTGATTTGCATCATTAGTAAACTTTGTACGAAGAGTGAGAACAAACTTACAATCCAACAAACCAGCTCAACTTAATAACTCTTGAGCATATCGAGATTGATTTAAATGGAACCATAAGGTGTGGGTTGAACATGTATACCCCAAAAATGATGTATAGAACTAAGTTTTCTCATATCAAAACGAGTTGCGAGCTGAGCAAAAATGTCATTAATAGGATTATCAATATTACCTGATATAAGTATATCATCGACATACACAAGAATGTAAATAAAGACTGTAGAATTTTGAAAAATCAGAAGTGATGCATCAACATTAACAGTTTGAAAACCAAGTAACTGTAAGTAAGTAGTCAAAGTGGCAAACCATTGACATGGAGCTTGTTTCAAACCATAGAGTGCCTTGTGATGTTTGCAAACTGTTGACGGGAATTTTTCGCATGTCTTTGGGTTCTCTTCGTTGAAGAAGGTGTGTGAGGAGAAGCTGGTGAGAGGGGTATTAAATGTGGAGAATGTGATAGATGTGTTGCTGCTCTCAAACCTCTGTGATGCATAAAGGCTCTCTCGGATTTGTAATCGTATGATTATTTGTAATTTTGGGGAGGTTTTAGGATCTGAGGGATGGAAGGCGATGAGAGAGAGCAATCCAGAGTGTGGAGAAGGAGATTCTTGATTGTGTTGTTGAAGCTGATATGGTAAGTTTAGCATTGTTTATGGTATTGGTTTGGGGGGCATTTACATACATACCGCCCAATTCCTAAGTATTTGTATGCTCAGGATTAAATTGTGGAATAAATAAAGTGGGATGAGATTCTTTTTTGAATTTTGATGTTTAAGTGCGCAAGTATAAGAAAAATAAAAACAAATATTAATTTTGTATATTATCCAATTTTATGTAAGCAAATTGGCCCTTATTTATTGTATGAAGCGAAGATTTTTTCACCTAAAAATTCAAATTAAAAAAAAATTCTTATATTGAATGCATTATGTGTGTGCTAATTTTAACAAACGCCCTAGTGTTAGCGCTGGCGTGGAGTCCGGTCCACCCAACCCGCAAACTCCCGCTCCCGCCTCTCCTTCTGTTTTCGCAAAATGACGCTTCCGTTCTCGAAGGGTCACACATCTTCACAAATAACAAATCCCTCCTTTCTTTTTTGCGAAGAGAAGCATCCCTTCTCCAGAAACCGTTCCCGCCTCCTCTATTTCGCGAAGAGAAGCATCCCTTCGCTCCTTTCTCTTCGTGATAAAAGGAGAGACTCTCCTTCATATCTGGATGACACAAGAAGTCACGATTTTCTTCTTTAAGGTTTCCTCGGGATAGAGGAAGAGTTCTTCGGGTTTCCACGGGACAGTGGAAGAGAAGAAGTGCAAGGAGTAGTAGTTTCTTGCGGCAGAAGGAAGAAGAAGGAAGAAGAAGAAGAAGATTGTTCTCGTTAGGCTTCTTCTTGGTGGCTTGTGGCAGAAGAGAAATTGGGTTTATTTCTCTTGTAAGTTTGTCCTCTTCGGTGTATCTCGGTGTAGAATTTTCTTCGGTGTATATCGGTGTAGAGAGAGAAGAACAGAGAGAGCAATGAAGAGTGAGTGATTCCTCTTGTAAGTCGATGTGATCGACTGATGTAAATTTTCTCAAGTAGTAAAATCCTCTGCAGCTCCGTGGATATAGGCAATTTGCCGAACCACGTAAATCTGTGTGTTCTTTTCTGGTGTAATTTTTCTCGTTCTATTTTTCGCTTCGTCGATCGTTCTCCTGTTTGATTTATATATATATCACATCAACTGTTCTAGTATATATATTTCATAACAATTTTCTTGTATTTTACGTTGATTTTAGATGACTATTATATTACTTTTTCAATTATAGCATGTGCTCGACTCCTTAAATAGTTTGTGTTTAACTAATTCATTAAATAAACGAGACAATCACGAATAAATTATTCAAGCTTGAGTTATAAACAAGACATATACAAACAACTCTTCATTTGATTGTGTTCAACTCATTTTTCTTCGAAATAAAAAAATTATATGTGTTACTTATATAATAATATATCATTTATTTATATTTAAGTTTAAATCATAATAACTCATGTGACATGTAGTTCTGTGTTTTATATTACATACAATTCTTATAAGTTATAATTCAACATCTTATATTTATTTTTTTTAATAACTTTAAACAAGTTATATTCGACCCGAACATGGGCCCAACACAAACATATTGTTCACTAGCAACTTTGAACGAGCTGAACACGAATAAAACCCAAACTCGCTCAAGCTCAGCTCCTTTTTAGCCCTTGAATCACAATAGATTAATAGCAACTTTGAAAGATCTACCTTCAGCAACACGAAGCCATGGAAGCACTGGTTCACATCTGCAGAGATGACAACAACACCATTGGCCCCCATGACAAACTCCTCAAGCAAAGCTCCATCCCCTGAGTTCATGGCGGAAACAAAGAAACATGCGCATTGTTTCTAATTAAGAATTCAAGAAAGCCGGGAAGAAAAACGATAGAGTTAATGTGCAGCAAGAAAGATAAATTTTCATTAAAAAACACAACATTACAATAAGATAAATTTTCAGAATACATCATAAATTAAAACTACAACAACGAAGCAACATCATCTTCTAACTAGTCTATCGCTCCATCAAATTGATTTCTGCTCTTCATCTTCTCTTACAGCTCAAAAGCAGAGGCTTCGAAGCTGTCGGAGAGTCCGGTACCAGTCTTGAATGTCAGCTTCTCAGATGTGGGCTTCTCGAAATAAACTTCGACAACAGAAAGCCATAGCAGCAGCTCCTTCGTCTTCACGCCGGTCATCTTCTTCAGCTTGTACTTCTCCACGAAGGCCGTCACCTCCGGTGCATATGACACAGCCCTCTTTATTTGCTTAAAAACGTGATCTTTCTTCTTCTTTTGTATCAGCCATATGAAGCCGGCTTCGCGATTGTAGCCGAATTCCTCAATGTCTTCTAGGGGAAAGAGACCTTTGGGGAGGCAGAGCTGTTCTAGCAGTTCGATGGACTTCTTCTTGCAGAGTTCGTCTCCTCTGTAAATTTCAGCACCTTCGCGGTGGTTTTGGATGGTCTGAGATGCCATTGGGTGGGAGGAGAGGTTGTATGAGTAGTTTTGAGTGGTTTGAAGATTGAAAGATGAGAGCTTTGTGTGGGGAAGATGATGGTGGGGAGCTGTTTATATAGGGGAGTGTGAAAGGGAAATCAATTATTGCGTTTGCGTTGCAGACTGGGTGGGAAGTTTCTAGCTTAGGATGTCAAATGTCAGCGTAGTCAACACGTTGAGAGTAAGCGTTTGTCGGCGTCGTCTGAGGTAGACTTGGTTGGATGTGGAATGGGTCAAATTCTCCGTTATTTAACAAAAAGGTATAATATTGGTTAAATTTGAGAATTTATTTTGATGTGGCCACGAAAAGGTATATTTATCGCAGCTTATCGTCACAGTTGTTATCGAGCCGAGCTTTTAAATCTGAAGCGTGCGAAGTTAAATCTATCGATTTATAGGATTTACTAAATTCAGGTTTTAGGGATGAAATCTTTTAAATCTGAATTCATCGCATTCCATAATTTATTACTCAAAATGACTCTCAAACACAATTTCATTTAACTTGTCGTCATACAATCTCATATAGTTAAAAAAAAATATTATGACCAATCACCGGCAGCTACTACGTCTTCTGATGATTTGTATGTCTGTGGTTGACCTTCCGAATGTGCAAGAATTGTGGTGTGCACTCAAATGCCCTAAAAAATATAGAGAAATCAACATAAAGAACACATGGAACGCCCGAAGGGCAATGATTGGTGTTGGATGCAAAAGGCTGTTTTTTTAAAATGTGAAAAGTTTAGGGTCCAAAAAGAAAATATGGATGCCTTTTTTTCTAAATAATAATTGAAAGTTATAATATTTTAAAAACATCTTTAATTAAACAATTAGTCTCTAAAAATAAAGTATTTATTTATGGTTGTGATATTGTACTTACTTAGATGGTATTTACAAGCTCAAATATATTTTTGGGGGCATTTACATACATGATATAACATCTAATTTTTTGCATCTATATCAGCCAAACTTTGCATAGATAATATCTGTGAATAAATATTAAATTTGCTTAAATATAAAAAAAATAGCATAAAATTTTATAAAATAAAAAACTATTGTCAGATACCATTAAAATTTTACATGTGGCATCGTAGGGTCTGCTTGGGGCAGCTACGCTTTATAGAATAAGTTGTTGATTGTGAAGAGTTGTGTCTATTTGAATGATCTGTTGTTTCTGTGAAAAATGATTGTTATGCACTTTTATTTATCTATTAGTTGTAAGTTCATATTTTTAGAAATAATTCAAAGAGATCAACATAAATAAATTTCAACAGTTAAAAAAAAAGAATCAAATTATCATAAAAAACCCGAAGAACAACCAACTCCGACCACGTTGTCAACATAAACTCAAAGAACAACCAACCCAATAGCATAACAAAATACATAAACACGAAGAACAATCAACCTGAAACACATTCTTATCATAAACCCAAAAAACAATCAAATCCCGAGCGCAATGAATTGCATAAATTCGAAGAACATCCAACTCCCTTATTATAAAAACAAAACTCAGATCTTCTGATGCAACAAAAGACCCTTAACAAGAGATGCAATAAAATCCTAAAAACCATATCTGCCAACTCGAAAACCAAATCTTCTAATGGATCGCAAATTCTGTTGAGTGTGGAGCCCAGTTTTAATATATATTTATATATATATATGTCTTTGTTTGCCATTTTCTGTAACTACTCCCGCCACCATTATCAAAAAAAAAAAAAAAAAACGCTTCCTTTCTGCT